CATTACCTGTGAAACGTCAGGGACGTTGCTGAATAAGTATACTGGAGAGTAACAGCATCATCACGCAGCATGTTATTGTTTTAGACAGGTCTGAGCATCCTGTACTCCAAAAACTGCAGTGATATTAGACAATTGTGTGTGTAGGATTAATTACCTGTCCAAGAGAAAACTGGCAACTTGAGCGTCACTTTGAAAACCTTTTTCCTCCATCAGTGACTTCCATCGTGTAAATGCCGTGCCAATGTTGATCCGTGTTTTTTGCCGTTTCTTGTCACGCTTGCGTTTATTCTCGTCGTGTTTCCGCTTCTTAGATGACGGGGGTTCGGTGTCCGCCGCTTTTCGTTGTGATACAGAGTAGGCATGATCCTCCATTCGTCTGATGTTTGGCCACACAGTGCCAAACAGTTTGCAAAGTCACTCACGCCTGCCGCCTTGTTCACCTTTCTTGTTACTGAGGCGCAGTATACCTGCTTCTTCTTCTTCTTTGGTTTCAGGCAGACTAAACGCTTCTCAGGCATAATACTGCCATCTACTGTTCAGTACCGTCTCAGTTAATCTCTCTCAACTTGCCGTAGTTATTTTTGAGCGTCATGGGAGATCTCGCAATCGCTAGTTTGTTGCCTCTGCGCTTGCCGTAGCGCAAAGATGTCAGCCTCCATGGCTGCGAGACCCGCTCCTATGTAATTATAAATAACGAATTCTAAGGCAACGCAAATATTATGGTTAAAAGGCTGAGCTCATAGGTGATGATAAATAACATAGTTATGTATAATATATTAAATTTCTGACTTTATATGCCTGTAATTATTACACACTGTAGCTTTAAGCTATTGCCTTTCTTGTGGTCTACTTTAGTGATCTGTTTTAAAGTAGATCAATTGTGACTAAACTATTATTAGGCTACTAAGGAAATTTCCTTTTGGGTATCCAAAGGTATTTCTGTCACATTAAGGATGAATAGTCATTAATGTTGAATTCTGGGATTCAAGGTCTCTAACACTTGGGATGTGTCCTATAAAACCTCCAAGATAAGAGCCTGAGAGGTATCCTGATTAAGAGGCTGAACTACCAAACAAAGTATTTTCCATCTTATTCCAGCCTTTAAGCCCATATACCATAGGAATCAGTGAGCAGCTGGGGCAGAAATGGATAAATAACTTCTACTTACAGTGACAAGCAGTAAACCTTCTGAAATGATTGTGTATTAAATACCCCTATTTAGAAGAAAATAGTTTGCGTACGTTGAATATTTATGTCAACTTTAATATTTAACATGCAAGATTAAAAAAAAGGTATTTTATAGTCGAAACAGGTGGTTGAATATTGAGTCTAATGACTTTCAGTAAAAGTACAAGTAATCAAAAGCAACAGATGCAAAAATAAAATATCTTACCGCAAAATTTCCTTGCGAGTGAAAAACGTGCAGTCCTGCAATAAAAGAAAACAGCAAATAAAAGCAATATATATATATATATATATATATATATATATATATATATATATATATATATATATATATATATATATATATATATATATATATATATACATACCTGACATAAAATTAGGACCACTAACGAGTGAAATTAATAAAAGGAATCATACCTTATCATGTTATACTTATCTTAGTAGAACTTATACGTTTCACAGCAGGTGAACATTGTGTCCAATAGCAGAGCTTTTGTTGCTTGCATGCAAAGCTCAGTATCAACAGAGCTTAAATAAAGGAACAGTGATAAACCAGCAACATTTAATTGTTGCAGATTTGGAGAGAGAGGAGGTGCACAGTTCAGTCATAACATTATGTCTTATTAGTGTAACAAGACTGAAGACGTTTTGAATATAAAGTTTTCAATATATCACGCTTCATTGGATGCTCAGGGACTCATCTGTTATATCTTAATAAATAGTTTCACGGCTCCTTTAGATTACTACAGAAAGCTACTCCAGGTGTTTGGTTTCTCTCAAGTAATGATAGCTGTGAGAGTTCATGCAGGAACATGATCCACTTGTCTAACACGCATGTGTTGGCAAATAATATCTAACAGCCTGACAGGAGGTACCATGGCTTACATTCGCCTTTCATAATCAGCTGTCTAACCTGTGCTTGGTTGTGTGAGAAACATCGCCTGAACAGCTGCAGAAATCTTGTAACAAGATGTACTGTTGCTGTCTGGGATATAATAATGACTCTGTCCAAAGCCAGATGCTTTAGCTGTGTGATAAGATGTTTAGATAAATACCACTTATGCTCAGAAAGACCTCTGAAGAGGAAAAATACCAACAAATTGAAAGTGTGGTTTTCTAAGAGGAGCTTTTCAGGGCCACGGTTGTAACCAGAGAGGTTCTAGAAAACTTAACTCAGACCTGAGAGTAGAGTTTCACAGCATATCACTGGCTTGGCATCAATTATTAATCCCACAGAAAATCACAAGGTGAACAGTTGCACTTGGAACTGTTTTTTTTTTAATTATTATTAATACTTGCATTATTGGTTAATTGGGTTCAGAAAACAGAGAATTTAAGAGGCTTTTTCTGTTCTTCAATTCCAAGACAATTAGTTAACTTTGCAAGGGAAGTTATATCAAGATAAATATACATTTATATATCAATATCCTTTACAAGGCTTTTAATATCACAAAATACACGAAGACAAATTATATCATTTAATTTATACATGCATATATAATTCCTAAGAAGGATAAAACCAGTGAAGATGATGAGCTCTAAAGATAGAGTTGTAAAGTTCCCTTTTGTAAAGCTATTTCTGTAATCTTTTGAGTATTTCTTTTTTTTTTTTTTTTTTTTTTAGAAATGCAGCGTTTGACCGTAAATTAAAAGCAAACATTACCACTCATCAGTGAACACAGATTGAGCTTGCTAAATTGCATTATTCAAATATAACACAAAATGCACCAAAACTGAAAATCAAAAGCAAATTACCCGAGCAACTTATTTTCTTACTTTAGTCTTACCATCCTCCACTATAATATAAACAAAGCCGACATGCATCTTACCTGATAGGCATCAAGTTGCTCATCGGTGAAAATTGTTTGCTTATTACCCATCTTTATCAAGTAATTTGTTGCTTGTACACTTTCAAAGCAAAGAACGTCCACCGCCTTTTCTCAAAGAAAGGCATTTATGGGGTTGGCGGAGTCAAAGTCTCTGCACAACTTGAGTTGAGTTTTGTTGCAAGGACTTAAGAAAGATTGTTGCTGATGTCCATTCAGGATATGCCTGCCACGAGAATAAATACTTGATGGAGAAAAAATGTCTAAAAGAAAGAAAAAAGATGAATGGATGTCCTGTCTCAGTCGAGCCAGAGCAGTGGACTTCATCTATGAACCTTGATGACAGCAAGGTGATCTGGATGTCCTTAAAAAGCTAGGCGGCCATTCCGTCAGAGAGGAAACAACCAATCAGAAAACCTACAGCCAGATTAATAAATAAACAGCTACTAGAACCTGCTGGTAATACAGTTGATATGACAGGTAAGAAGAGGCTCCTAGGTAATAACCGCTAATGTTAAATAGTATAGAAATAAGGAGATTGTTATGTATTTGCTAGATCATCAATAGATAATCCATGTCATTATTTAGCCTAAAAGTATCATCTAAAATATTAAAAGAGGATGTTTTTATTAATGAGCTCTAAATCTCTTGCAGTCATTTCAATTCAGAGAAAATGTTTAACAACATATCAACTTGATACCTTGATAAGTAAAACTCCATTAGAATTAGAATTGTACCCAAAATTGAGTTAAGTGGAAAAAAAAAAATGCATAATTCATCTTAATATGAGATACTTAGTTCAACCTAATTGACCCAACTTCTGCTTGGCTGTTTCTTCCTTATTGTCTTATTATAAAAAAATATTTTTAGGGTAAAATAATTATATTTCTAATGGTTACATGTTCTGGTTTATTAGAGATTTAATAGCAATGTCTAAATCTATGAAAAAAGTTCATAGTCAGGGATGGTCAAAATGCTTTTCACTCACTTTACTATAAGTGGCAGTTTGTATTACAGTGAAATATGTTTTAATAATTTGCTTACACTAAAAAAAAGTAAAAAAAAAAAAAAAAAAAAAGAAAGAACTAGCAACACTGAAATATTGATTTTTCACTTATATGATACAGGACCAGTTCTGTTGTCCTTATGATTGTCTAAGCTAGAACCACCACTGAAATAAACACAGGTATATAGATATTGATAAAACAGACAGATTTCCATGAATAAAAAAATTGGCTTAAACCGTATTTTTAAAAGCATTTTTCAGTGATCATTTTAGCAGTTTAACAACAGTAATTATTAGAATCAGCTTCATAATCATCTGAGATGATTTTAAGAAACTTCAAATCTTATTAAAGAGCCTGTTGCACTTAAAGGAAAGAAAAACTTTGATTTAAAGTCCCTGCTGCTCAATAATAATAATAATCCTGTCTTTATTTTCCACTGAGCTGCAGAGACTGCTGCCATGTCCGTCCGTCTCTTCTTCTTCTTCTCTTCTATTATGGCGGATCACAAGCAACTTTAAGGTGCATACCGCCACCTACTGTACATGAGTGTGTAGCAGCGTTACTTCACATCTATTAGATTCTATTTTTTAATTTTGTATTCTTAAGATACATAAACAATGCTTTCCTTAGTTTATGAATATCTGTTATGTTTCCTTCATTTCCTAATATTCCTTTAAGATTCCATTCATGCCCTATACTTCTAACTATTCTCTTTAATTTTTCCCTTTCGTGTTCATATAACTTACAGTTCATCAATATGTGTTCTGCATTTTCTTTTTCACCACATTTCTCACATTTATCACTATTTTTCCTCCCTATTAAATAAAGCATGTCATTTAAGTAGGTATGACCTATTCTTAATCTACTAACTATTATTTCTTCTCTTCTGTTTCTTTCATTAATGTTTCGAATTCGAACTGACTTTTGCACTTCATATAATCTTCTTCCTTTCCTATCTTCGTTCCATATTTTTTGCCGTCCGTCCGTCTCTAATCCACCTGTCTGTTATTACTGCACCAATGAACGCCTCCACATCCCACCTCTGGACAAATGATAATTTCACACTTCCTAAATAATTCCAGTTTTGCTTTGCGCTGGTTCAACTGTCACCTTTCGTGACTTTTCTCTCCATTGTCCCTGTGAAAGTTGCCCAGCATGGACTGTAAGCGAGAAAAGGAGCAGGGTAAGTTATAACGGATAGCTTGTTGCTATGTAACCGCGATAGCCGCTAGCATCATGTGCTAACCGAAGCTAACTGTGTGTCTCGAGATAAAATGTAGCTAACGGCGTGTTTTTGTCTGCTGTCTATGGCTTCGTTTCGTCAAGAAGAAATTGTCACTGTTGTTCTTTTATTGAAACACGCGCCATGTTTTTTTTTAAATGTATTTAATGATTATCATAATTTCTCCTAGCTGCTGCAATAGGAACGCCCATTCTGCTAGCCTGAATATAGCTAGCATGTTTTGTTTAGCTAATCGTGAAAAAAAGTTACTTTTCTCATATTTTTTTAAAAACACAAGACATGTGCGGTGCTCCTATGTTTCTTTCACTCAATATTTTTTATGTATCATTATAACTTTGTAATCCACCTATCTAACAATTTGCAACTGAGCTAAATATTTGGAAAATAAACATACTGATAATATAAATATAAGCAGACACTATCATCATTATATCTGGTTAAGTAAGTGAGGTGAATTCATGTGTAGGACTCACACTGCCTTAGGCACACTAAAGCAAATATAACTCCCTGAGCTGTTACTCATTGGAATTATAACATTACACAACAGTGAACACATCAGCACATCTGTCTGTTTGCTGTGACCCTTTCCTTTGCAGCTTTCAGGGAAAATGCTGTGTGTTGTCAGGGGGAAAAAAAAAGAGCTGCTTGAATAAAAATTTTTTCCTCCACTATTACCAGAACAAACAGTGCTTCTAGCATTTTCTTATGCAGTGAGTCACGAATAAGGAATCTGTTGTTGCACTGCATGTTTAAGAACAGAAAGAGAATATGCTTTGTTTTATTTGGTTTTGTGATTCCTCCAGATGCAGAGTGTGAGAAGATAACTGCTGTGCTGCTAAAGTCACGAACCGGAGAATTTGATTTGGAATCCATACTGTTTCTTAAACTCAGGGGTCTTGGTAAGAATTAATATTCTACAGTTTAATCTATATATATTGATTTAGTTATTGTTTGTAATATTGTTTTTGCTTCATACCTTTAAGGTATACATGACCTCGGATGCATTGGCGAGTGTGTAAATTTGGAGAGGCTGGACCTATCAGGGAATATTATATCAAATCTTGGACCTCTAGCGTCTCTTCGGCTTCTGTCTGTGCTTAATTTGTCGGCCAACAGAATCTGTAATATAGGTAGAGCAAAACTCCTTCATTTTAATTCCCTTTTTTTAAAACAGCATGTAAAAATGATTTATATTCTTTGTTTTTGTTTGTTTTCCCAGAGCCACTTCGTAGCTGTGAAAATGTACAAAATTTGAATTTAGCTGGTAATTTTATTTCCAGGTATGTTTTGTCACAAATTTACCTATTAATATATGAAACTGTGCATTAATATTGTAAAAAGAGGAAACCCAAAATGACATTAAAGGCCGATTCTAATTGTTGATAAATCTTGTTATAAATTGGATTTCTGCCACTATAGTAGTTTCAAAATGTCTGAAAACAGACATGATATTCCTTTATGACACATATTTACTGGATAAACTCAGAATTTGTTTAATTGTGATATGAAGACTATGTCATTTGTTTACATTGTGAGCTCTATGGGGAAGTAGATTGCAAAAAAAATGTATTTTGTGTTTTTTTTTAACAGCACTGAGAGCCTACATTGCCTTGTTCCTTTAAAAAAGCTAGAAAGCATACGTCTGAAGGACAACACATACAATTACAGTAACCCAGGTAATTTCTAAGAATTTTCTTTTGAGATTCCAGTAAATGGAAAACGGTGATTAATGTTTTTCATATGCCTTTGGTTTTACCAGTGTGCAGGAGCACTTCATACAGAACTGTTGTACTTGAGATGTTCCCTAACATCAAAGTGCTGGATGGTAAGATTGATTTATTTTCCCTTTATTCTTAAACCCAAATGTGTTATTTTAATAACAGTGTTAAAATTGTTGCTTTGTTTTGGCTGAGTATGTTTATTTGTTTACCATTACAGGAGAGAGAGTTGTTGGACGAGGAAGTGAATTGTACCAGTTATGCAAAGACATTGATGAGACTATAAAGGGTGGGGTTTTATTTCTCTGCAGCAAACATGCTTGTAGTTACCAACCAACATCAATCTTACATGGATATATCTTTGATTTGGTGTTTTTTTTTTTTTCCTAATATATCTTTCTTCTCCGAATGATTAGCTGGTTCATACAAGAACGGGCAGCTTATTGAACATCCTGATTGCAAGCCATGGGTAGAAGAAGGTTACTGGGAAATAAAGCGATCCAACAACGCCATTATTGAAGAAGCCTACAAACAGTTCAATGGTGAACAGTTCACTGTTATTCTATATATCATCTCTGCGGATTTATACTTTTGAATCTAAAAATACAAGTGCATCTCAATAAGTCAGGGAAGCATCAAATAGTTTATTTAGAAATGGATCATGCTATTTTCAAGCAATCTCTTTTTCAGTTACTGTCTTGGAAATTAATTCAGTGAAAAAATGAATTCTAATTTATGAATATGTCAATTTACTTTTTGTTTTTTCCTTCAGATGTTCTTCATGAATGCAGACTCCTGAACAACAGAGCCACTCATGTGATTTCCCAGACTGAGAGATCCATGAGCTTGAAAAAGCAGCCAAAGCAATATGCCATCTGAACAGGGCTATTTTGTACACACCTTTGTGCAACGTTCAGCAGCCTTTGTTGCTTTTTAATGACGTATATGACAAATGTACTGTAGCTTTTAAATAGCCATGCTGTATCCAAATGCTTTAAAGATATCATTGCCTGACACACATGCCCTGTGCCGCTGTGTGTGGACTTCGCTGTTACCATATCCATCCTATGCATTGAAAAATGCGTTGGTGATTGGAAAACCTTTACTCCTACTGCTACCCCTCAGTTTGTTTGAAAGGTGTCTTAACTTGCACAGTAAGCATTTTGTAAAATGCTGTAGCCTGAAATTATGCTGAAAGCTATGCTGCTTATAAGAATTTTATTTGTCTTTATTTCCAGATAGTTTTAATGACGTTGTTAGTTTAAAGTGTAAATGTGTTCTGTACTGTGTTTTTTTTTTCTGTTTATGCAAAGTTTGAATGATTGTTGTGGCTCTGACTGCTTATTCTTTTTTTTAAGACTTTGCAACTGACCTGTTGAAATTTTAAGCCTGTGAATGTGTGTTTTAAACTGCCCCGTGTTTTTATTTAAAATAAATTAAAAAGGAAATGTATATGTTCATATAACTGGGCGAGCAGTTGCCCAGCATGGTGAATCCCACAATCGATGCCATGCTGCCCCCTGCCGGTGAAGACTGTTCAATGCCATTAGGAATAAGCTAAAGCCCGTGCAGAATAGGTAAGATTTAATTGCCAAAAGTTTAGTTTACTGAGTAACATGGTTTGTTTTGATAGAAATCAAATGATTATTAAACTAATATAACAGGAGGTACAGTCATCATAAATATATAATATATAAATTTCTCTTGTAATGTCCACAAAATTCTTTTTTCCAGATATAAGTTACGTTCAATACGATAAAAAAATATATAGATATAGATTTTCAAGGCTTACGATGCTTATTAAAATAGCTACTTCCTTATGGTTACCATAGCAACCTCATTCTTGCAGTTGCCTTGTGTGCTAAATAGATAAGCAAAAATAACTAGAAGGCTTTCCTACTCCACAGAGGTGTCAAAAGTATAAATGTTTATTACTCAAGTAGAAGTATAAATCCTACTGTTTAAAAATACTTTATTAGTATCCACTAAGCTATTTACTAAGTAAAAGTGTAAAGGTAGCATTTTTAAAACTAAAGTATAAAAGTAAAAGAAATGCAGGAAAGAATGTTTAAACCTTACACTGGTTACTGCACTACTCTATTAAAGGCACATTTTTCCACATTCCTGGGTGATAACTTCCCTATACTTAATTTTCTTAGCTTCATAAGTAATGGTAATAGTGTCAAATGTAACTTTGCATCATGTTGAAAAACGATTTATTTTGGTAAGTGGCGAACAAGTTGGTGCAGCAGCGAGTCTAACCACAAAGAAATTGTCTGGAAGAAAAAAATTATGTTGATGGTTTTTAATTTTTACCAACAGGTCATAACAAAAATGGACTTAAATGAAACTAAACTATCAACTCTATTTTTTATATTTAAGGAGTAGAAAGAGATCATTTAAAAAAAAATTTAAGGACTAGAAGTAAAAAGTTGTCTAAAAAATATTTACTCCAGTAAAGTATTGATATAGCCAAAATTTATACTTAAGTAAGGTGACAAAGTATTTGTACTTTGTTACTTAACACATTTGCTACAGAACAATGCTTGAACAGTTTTTTGCTCATTTTAAGATAATTTTCTTCATGCTTGGGATTTAATACTTTCTCTCTGTGGATTATTAATCTGGTAAAAAAGTTGTTTTTTTCAACAGTGGCAATGATTAAATCAAATCACAGAAAGTTAGTTTTGTCTGGTTGTAATTATAAAATGCCGACTGTTATACCTATATTACAATATTCTGAAGCTTGCACCTGTCAGGCTGCTTGTAGTGTGGGATTCTAAAGCATCTTTTTTCATAGCCAAAACTTGCTTGCTATTTGTCATTTCTATATAGACATGACTGTAAGAATATAATATTTTAGATAACTTCCCATTATAGTCTAAAATAGAAAAAGGCAAAGTCTTAAAGATTAGATGAGCTATATTTACTCATGGGCAATTTCTTATGCTCCTGTTTAGTGGTTGTTCACATAAATACTAAAACAGCCGATCACATGACAGCTTTTAAGAACATTTTAGTTCTAGACAAGGTGAAGATGACCTTCTGAAATTCAAAGTGAGCATTGGAGGTGGGAATAAAATATAAGTAACTTATTCAAGGTGCATCAGCTATGTAAAATAAAATGCAGTTTTCAGAGAACAGGTAGATTGCCTTGGAGAAGATAGAAAAGTAACAGCAACTTTTACAATTCAGGTATACCACACTACGTTCCCTAAAACCACGACATACAGAACCATATAACAGATGAACTACAGAAACACCTATGACCAAGGAACAGGAAACCGATGCTACGCTTCTCACTGGTGAAGCAGAATTTAAATAACAGTTTGGAGAAACATTGTCTTGTCCCACTGTCTCAAATTCAGCTACAATATTAAGATAAGAATTTGGTTTTTGACATGACTGTGATGTTGCTCCACAATCACCATAACTTAAGTCCAGTAGTATTCAATTTGAATTCAATGGATGTGCTGCTTTTTGTGAATATGGACCAAAGTCTCTGAAGAATTTCTCCAAACTTTTGTTGCATCATTGCCATGAAGAATTTAGGTAGTTTTTCAGAGGAAAGAAAAAGAGACCAGTTTAATATTTAAAAGGTGCCTGTGTGAAAATGTTCGGCAGCATGTCAAACTTAAATAGGATGCCTTTACTCATAAAATTGATTATTTAAAACCAGCCTTTCCAGGTGATCATTTCATATTTGTTTTCAGTTTTTGTTTGTTCTTATTTTTGATTATGATAGTGGCGACTTTCTTTTTTTTTTGGTTGCCACCGCAAGCCATTGCTGAATCTGTCTTTGCATTGTTAAAGGTGGTTGCTTGTTTTACTTTTTGGTTGTTTTTTTACCCCTTTAAGTTCTCTTGCAAACTGTATCTCTTCTTTTATCTACCAAATGATGACTTATGTTTCTTGTTGGCTGTAATACTGAATTCTTTTAAATAGATTTACTAAAGTGCCTAAATGAGAAGGCGTCTCTTTCAGTTGCTGTTTTAGCACCATTCAGGAGAAAAAAGTGATTGACTGTCAAAGATATGTTGTCCATGTATTATTAATAAGATGTTCTTTCTAAAGTTGTTCATACTTTTCTTCAAGGTTCTAACCAAAGACGCAGAGGAAACTCAAAATGCTCACAGTTCACAGAAGCCACATGTTAAAGAGTCAAGGACATAGAATAAAAGGAGCTTATAAATAGGGAGTGGTTAGGGCATAAAGTTTAGAATCCTGAGGTTCTGAGTTTGAGCCCCGCTCCCACAGACTGCCACTCTGGGTCCCTGAGCAAGACACCTAACCCCAGACTGCTTCACGGGTGCTGCACAATGGCAATGCTCCCCAAGGGGATGGGTTAAATGTAGAGAGTTCATTTCATTGTTTTGTACTTTTGACAGTGTAATGACAATAAAAGTTGGGGGGGAAAAGTAAAAAGTATATAGCCTCTTTACGTTTTCAAATAAATATTGAGTTACTAAAATCAGCCAAAGTACCATATTTGTCGGCTAAGTAACCAATTATTGTTCATAATTTCTTTCACATATTTTCAATATATGTGAAAGAAATTTGGTTTAATGCTTAAATCAAAATTGATACTCATGTTTTATATGGAGATTCTTTTCTCATTTCATATCAGAAATACTTGCAGAAGAAGATATTTTATAACCATATTTTATAATCACTGTATATATATATATATATAATGTTATAGTAACTAACTAACACCAACCTGCACCATATACATTATTATATCATATATATATAATTTATAAACATATTTGCATACTATATATCAATACATATACAAGCCAATTTTTTCCCCTCTATATTCAGTACACTATAGCTCCATTTACACTACCCTCTGAAAACCGATCCATACCGAGCTTAGTTAACAGTGCCAAGCTTGGTTCCTTGCCACTATTAACGTACCAAGCTAGGACGGAATGTCTCCAAACCAAATTAATTATTTATAATTTACATTATATTTACAGCAGGTTCTCTATCCTCTACCTTTCTTTTACAATCAGGAATCATGTGAAGACCTCTGAAAAGTAAAATAACTATATCTGCTGCCCCACAGCGCCTCAGTGTGGCATATTCAAGCCATAGAAATGATTAAAATGTGGGCTTGAAGCACTGCTCTGCTTGCTCAGTTTAAACACATCTGAGCAGTGACGTGCGGTCAGGGGAGGCAGGTGAGGCAGTGCCTCACCAGCCATCATGGAAAGAAAGAAAATATATAATCATAAAGTAATTTAAATTGTTATATTCATCCGGTGGTTTGTACTAAAAAATATTCATTTTTCATGTAGCTTCACCAATTTCGATTTTTATTTGTTCAAAATCGCTGAATTTTCTTATTTTCCCATTCAAATGCTTGGAAGCGATGCCGGTGAGGCAGCAGCGAGCTCTGCCTCACCTTGGATTGCGCAACCCCTGGCTCTGCGCTGGCTGCAAAGCGGAGAGAGCATGTTGCTGTACGGCGTCAATAAAATGGTTTAAACAAATGTAATATGTGAACTTATTTCTAATAATTTGGCTTATGTATATAATGTACAGAGCTTTTTGTCACCAACTGTGTTTGTGTAACGTGTTTCGTGTAATGAGCGATTATAAACGGCAGAGAACAAGTTCGAGGTGAGGCAGGCAGTTCTCTTGCCTCATGGCAGGGGGTGCTCAAGAGACTGAAAACATAAGGCAGGAACAGGACGGATCAAGGAAGGCTTTCTTCCCTGGCAGTGATCTCCATTGAGACAGAGAGACTTTTAAAACTGAAGGAAGATAAGGAGGACTTCTATTCATTTATAAGTAAAGGTAAGACAGTAATAACATTTATTTTGTTTTGTTTTTTAAGGAAATGTGTGTTTTGTGAGCTACAGTTTGTATGTGTAAGGATGCAGAAGTGAAACATAACCTGTAAACTGCTGTCAATCTATGCATCTATTTGCAAATCTGATTCTGATGACGTCAGTGCCTCACCAGCTATGAACCTCACCGCACGTCACTGCATCTGAGAAATTGCTGGAGGAGATTCTCAGTCATCCAGGTCATAGTCATTCCAAAAAATTGAAATAGCTTCCTGGATGGAAAGCGAAACGTCTTCAAACTTGGAAACAAAGTCGAGTGGATTGTTGTTGTTTTTTTGTTTTGGGGTTTTTTGGGGGGAAATCTGAGAAAACAACAATATCCTATTAATAGTATAAAATTACCTATTAAAAATGTCAGTACTTCCCCTAATTTTTTTCTATTTCTGTTTCTTTAAAACAGAGAAATGTTTTTATTAAATGAAAAAATCATGAACTAAAAATTATCTCAAAGCAGCTCCAACTACTATGTCTGATGTATGTATATTTATATAATTTAATATACATTTAGTGATAGTAT